CTTCCTTACCTTACAAGCCTTTACTCATCTCAAATCCTTACTCAGCTCTACCCCTATCCTTCGCCTTCCCGACTTCTCTAAACCATTTACTATTGAGACCGATGCTTCCGGGGTTGGWATTGGAGCCATTCTTGCACAAGATAATCACCCCTTGGCTTAYTTTAGTAAGAAGTTGTGTCCTCGAATGCARCAAGCCTCTACTTATCACCGCGAGATGTATGCGATCACCCAAGCTATTGGTAAATGGCGGCAATATTTGTTGGGTMATAAGTTCACTATTATCACTGATYAGCAGTCCTTAAAACGCCTTCAGGACCAAGTTATCCAAACCCCCGAGCAACAAAAGTGGTTGGGTAAGCTCCTGGGTTTTGATTTTGACATTGTTTACCGRCCGGGTTCCYAAAACAGTGCTGCCGACGCCCTATCCAGGGTCCCAACAGGTCACTTGTTAGCTTTTTCAGCCCCTGTTCCTTCTTTATTGCAGGAATTATCAACGGCAATGCAATCAGATTCTGCCCTTACTGATCTCATTCACCGTATCACTGCTGATCCGACTCAGTACCCTGATTATACGTTGAAGAATGGGTTCTTGTTATTCCACGACCGTTTAGTCATCCCTAATCACTTGGCTCTACGCCAACAACTTTTAACCGAGTTGCATACATCAGCTTTTGGGGGGCATTCCGGTGTCACTCGCACTTATCAACGGCTTGCTGCCGCCTTCTATTGGTCCAACATGCGTGCGGATGTTAAGAAATTTGTTGCTCAATGCCAAGTTTGCCAACAAACCAAGCCGTCCTTTTTATCCCCAAGTGGTCTTCTACAACCCCTTYCGATTCCTCAAGCAGTTTTCGAGGACATTGCTATGGACTTCATCACCTGCCTACCGGTCTCCCACGGTAAAACGGTTATTATGGTCGTTGTTGACCGCTTATCKAAGTATGGTCATTTTATMGCCTTGCCTTCCTCCTTTACTAGTGTCACTGTTGCTAATGCTTTCATCAATGAGATAGTCCGGCTCCATGGGATTCCTTTGTCGATTATTACCGATCGCGATGCTCGTTTTATGACCGACTTTTGGAAGGAATTACACCGTATCAATGGTACCACTCTTAAGTTCAGTACCGCGTACCATCCCCAGACGGATGGTCAATCCGAGGCACTAAATCGTTGCTTGGAAATGTATCTTCGTTGCTATGTTGCTGATTACCCACAAAAATGGTTACAATTTTTACCTTGGGCAGAATTTTGGTACAATACCTCATACCAAACTTCTTCGCAGCTGACTCCTTTTGAGGTTGTTTATGGCMGAAAACCTCCTACCATTACCCGCTACCTTCGGGATTCCACCGCTAACATACCATTAGAGGACCATTTTCTGGAACGAGATACTGTTTTGAGCCTGCTGAAAGCCAATCTGTTGCAAGCTCAGGCTCGTATGAAGTTGGCTGCCGACAAGCACCGCAAAGATGTTAACTTTAATATAGATGATTGGGTCTTTGTTAAACTGCAACCCTACCGCCAAGGTTCACTTCGTCTCCAACGTCATCATAAGCTTGGTCATCGGTATTTTGGTCCCTATCGAGTCATTGCTAAAATTGGCGCGGTTGCTTACAAACTAGACCTACCGGCCACAACCAAGATTCACCCCGTTTTTCATGTGTCTCTCCTCCGGAAGTGTATTGGCACTCCTGTCAATCAATTCACTCCCCTACACCTTGTGGATTCTACATCCACTCTTCTACTTCAGCCGCAAAAAGTTCTCCAGCATCATTCCATTTATAAAGGGTCCCAAGTGGTTCCGCAAAGCTTAATTCAATGGGAAGGGCTGGCTCTAAACGACGCGACATGGGAAGATGATATCCAGCTTAAACAGCAGTTTCCTCACTTTTCCCTTGAGGACAAGGTGAATGTTAATGGGGAGGGTATTGTTATGGATCCATTGGGTCAGCATGCTGATGACAGCCCAAATCCAGATCCAGCACAAATTA